TCACATATACTATAGAGGTGACAAAAAAGATTGGAGACGATATTCAATATAATGTTTGCCATATATATTATTAATTAAAGCTAACTTAATTAGAAATTACATCAAGAAAGATAAAAATGTGGGTTTCTTTCAGGTTTCACTTTCAATTTCAAAAGCATATAATAAAAAGTAATTTAATAATCTATGTTTATATTAATTACTCCCTCCGTTTCTATATAAGTGTCATTTTGAGTTTTTACACAGTTTTTAAGGAATAAAAAAGTGTGCAGAGAATTGACTTTTTCGGTGAAAAAATTTTGTTTCTCACTTTGCAAAACGTGTGTGAGACAGTGAAATATTAATTAAGAGAGAGACAAATTGTGAAAGAGAGGAGATGAGGGGAAGGGAAAGATAAAAAGAGAGAGAGGAGTGTGGGGTAGGGTAGAGAAAAAGGTTGAGAGAGGNAGTCCTACTTGGTTGAGGAATCTCATTTATGAAGGAAGTGATATTACTTGCATTAGGGTTAACAATTCAAGTAATATTTTAGATCTTGACGGAAGTGAAAAGTAAATAGGATTTTGATTCCTATTTTAGAACTGTTGTGAGCTAATGGATTGGAACTCGATTTAGTGTAACTTGTAGGATAACCAAAACTCATGGAGTGGTCAGTTCACAATGTGGATTTAAGCGTGAGCTCAATTAGAATTGGGTTAAGACATTGAATCGTAATATATTTATTTTGTCCAATATAGTTTTTTGGCCCATACAATATTCTCTTTGTAAGATGAATTTAAGAAGATATGTATTCTTTTGTAAGAAAAACAAATAGTTTGAATCTAAGAAAAAAGCGCAAGTACAAACAAGAGAAGGCCAATCTGGAAAATTGATATATAATCTAAAAATCTTTTTAAAAATAAAATTTATTTATTTTATGAGGCTAAAACAATACCACTCATGTATTTATAAGTTAATGTTGTGCCAAGTCACTTCATGTATACCGCCATCAAGCAGGTTAATTTATAAATGAATGAAGATGAGACATCAAGTAGCTCATTCTAATTTGGAATTTTTGTGATCATCATTCGTTGCCGTCAATTTCTATATCATTCATTGTTATTTGTATTTGTCTTCATCTGTATTTCAAGGTGTCAATTTAATTGAATTAGATATTTCTCTATTCGAAAAAAGTCTTCAACTTATTTGAATCTACTTAATATTAAATTAGCTTTTGAAAGTTGTTTTCTTGTAGGCAAAGCTGAAGATAATAACACAAGTTGATATATACTCCTTATCCTCATATCATTTCATCGTCACCATCTAATCTCTTACGTAAATTAAGGAGCTTAATTACAAAATGATAAAACCTTGACTCCATTCCATTCCATTCCATGCATGCATGGATATTTCCCAAACTTTTTCATAGAAAAAACACTTTTTTCAAGTGCATACTTTACGGCAGCCGTTGGAGGAAGACAACTCCTTTACACCTCTCAACTCAAATCACATGGGGGCTGGACCCTCTCTCCATAAATTATACTTAATATATACAACAAAAAAGCCGTTACAGTAGTACTACTGTAGTAGTATAATTTCCAAATGGGTATTAATTATTATTCAGAGGTTTGTGTGAAGGAGATGAAGCAAAACTGAGTCACGGCATTGCTTAATGATGAAGCAACCACTACCTGCTGCGGTGTTTCGCCAAGAGGCTGAAGTTGATGATATTGATATCTCTACGTGTCCATTGATTTTTGTTGCATGCCAATGCCAATGAGGTCACTGTTTGTAAATTTATCACCAATTTTTGTTGCTTATTTTCCTTGTTTTCTTCCACTTCTCATAAATAAATAAATGCCTTTTTGACGATACATAATAGTTTATATAGTCTTCTGATATGTTATATGAGATCAATTGGATATCTGTTATCTTTAAGATAATGTATTTTAATTTACATAATAAGCGCTTTTGACGTACAACACCTTCAAATGTTAGATTATAACTAGGAGAATTCCAAATTCAGTCTAATCACACTCATGTCTTTGTCAATATTAGTTTAATGTCACGACTTATTAGACCACAATCTTTATAGAATCTTGTTATGGTTCAAAAGTCAATTTAATTAATTAATTAGAAGATCGAATTGGTTGAGATTTACATTAAACTGTGAAAACATTCACATATACTATAGAGGTGACAAAAACTTCTTACTACATTATGCACCATACAGTAAAAGGTTGGAGACGATATTCAAGATAATGTTTGCCATATATATTATTAATTAAAGCTAACTTAATTAGAAATTACATCAAGAAAGATAAAAATGTGGGTTTCTTTCAGGTTTCACTTTAATAATCTATGTTTATATTGATTATTTGCAAGCTTAGAAATGTTGTCTGTGCATTGACACTTGTATAATTAAGCTAATTTATATTCTTTTAGAACATGATGATTTTGATCAAATGACTTTATATTCTCTAGAACAGTGAATTAAATACGATTATAAACTAGTTGCTGCTGTGGCATCTATTTATTCAATAAAAATCGGTAGTGTATTATTATAACTTAATTAAACCCTAATTAACCAATTGTCTTTTCTTTCATTTTCAACCATTCAATCTGTTAAATCAATGGTTCAATACCTAAACATCTTTTCTTAGATTCTTCAACTTTAGCATGCAGCTGTCGATCAAATCAAAGAGACAGTAGAGCCTAATTAATTTGAATATTAGTGATTAACTTTGTCATCAGCCAACCTTTATGGATAAGAAAATGTAGACTAATCCCGTAACCATACCACTTTCTTTCTCATTCATGGAACACTGAGAATTACCCATAAATCATTAGCCCTTCAAAATACAAAGTAACATTCAATAAAAATGTTCAAATTACAATCAAATTTTTGCTGAAGCATGGAGGGAATGTGGGCTCACTTAGCACGCGAGAGGTTCGGGATCGATGTCCCCTATCTTCATTTTTTGTTTTTGTGTCATGGAGAGATCAATGAGTTAAAACTAAAAGACAAGAAAATGGGCCCAATTTAAAGTACTTTTCTAGGTTGTTTTCACTTTTCACTTTCAGGTTTTGGTTTTTCTGATTTCCAGTTGAAAGAAAAGGAAGTAACACCAAGTAAACAACAAACAAACCACTAGATAGTTTTCGGATACCAATAAAGAATCCAAAGTATTACGAGTAAAGTGCAATGCTACGTGCTATCTCTTCAAGCCACTTCTACTTGCTTACCTGTCTACCCCCACCCCAGTCTCCATTCTACCATCAACTTTTTCTCACATAATTTTTAGAATCCCAATCTCCATCATAAAATGGAAAATCAAAATGAAAACTGCAGCATTGTTTTTGGTGTGACTGACCTTTATTTTTTATTAACATTCAACATGCATTATGCCGCCGAGGATGACAATGTTATACTGAAAAATAATTTAATGGTGGTAATGAAACGAACATGGTATAAAAAAAACAAGAAAGCCGTGAAATGAAGATGAAGTGGTAATGGTGAAAGACGGTACTGAAAAAGCAAATAATAAAGGGAAATATGTATAGTATTGAAATGGATGCAAGGCTTCTCGTTTTTCTAATCAATCATAAATATCCACATGCCGAGGGCAATAGATATCGTATAGTAAATGATCCATGTTGAGTTGTTGTGTTCTTGGTCTTATCAATGTAACAACTTCATACATCATCTTCTACATCACCCACGTGTTGGTGTTTGCATTCTCTCTACCTATCTTTATTCTTTACCACTCTCAACCTTTCTGCAGCTCCTCAGATAACATTGAATGATGAACTCATAAATATAAGGAGTCAGTCAAATTTGCCATTAAAGATACCTTCACAATTTCACACTGCACACTGTTTAATTTCAAGTCTTAATTGATGGCTCTACAAGAACTTAACATTATGATCAGCATCTCGTAGAAATTGGTCGGTTCCAAACATGCTGCTGGATTGGACCCAAGCTGGTTTGGTCATCTGCAGTAATGGAAATTCAATGCAGTGTGCACTTCAAGCCCCAGGATTTTCAACTTTCTATGTTCTTATTATCTCACCTCGACATTAAAATTGGACTACTTGGAAGAAAATGAAAAGAGGAGATTTTTTTTTTTCCCTTAAGAGAATAGTAATTATGGTCTCTCTTTTCTATGTTGAGATAATTATAGTCAATGATCAACTAACTTCACCTTAAATAATCTTTTAAGTAACTTCACTTAATGAAAATTGAGAATTTTTTTTTCAGAAAACAGCACGTGGTAAGACAGTCCAAAAAAACAAAGATATTTATGCTTAATCTTGAAAAAATATCTCTTCTTATGATAATCATTGACGAACGATAATGGATAGTTATTCTTAAATCACAGTAATAGGTGAATGAAAGAAAAAATTTAATAAATATTAAATTATTGGATAATTGGATAATCTCATCACGGAAGTGTGATGAGCTGATAAAATTGTCCCATATAAATATTTTTATAATAGAAAGTGTCTAAGCATGGAGCAAGTAAAAATTAAAAAGAGCCGATGAAGAAAGAAAAGGTCTAGTTACTGGTGGCGAAAGGAGTGAAAGTAAAACAGGGAAACGGTCGCTGCTGCCCAGTTGTGGGTTAGCTAACCTGCAGAAAGCAAAACCACTTAACTGTTTCTAACCTTAAAGGTGGAATCTTTGAATGTAGGTGATGAATTCCTGTTCCTAACACCCTCAACACACACAGACAAGTTCAAAACCACGTGGTTTGAAGAAAAGTGGCTTCGGTTCCTTACACAGAAACCGCTTGCACCTGGCTGTTTAAGGTCCCCACAGCTCAACTATTGTCAGCTGGTCGTGACGTTGCCCAGGGGAGTTCCTTTTTGCCTCTTCAAACATCTATATATTCCCCCCACCTTACCAGCTATTTCCACACTCACAAGTAACATAACCTCGACCTCTTGGCGCTAGGATCTCTAATATTACAAACAAACGCCGGCCCGCTAAAAGTTTGTCTTTCATAATTTAATACAATTTTGTCTTTCATAAGGTAATACAATATCTCTTTCCCTCTTTTTGATGCCTTGATGCTTAAGTCTTAAGGGTGCTTCTTTTGTGCAGGATCATGGCACTTCTTGAGCTGCTCTTGGTGGGTTTACTTTCTTTAGTATCATCTGTTTATGGGAATGGCGAGGGATGGAGTAATGCTCATGCCACTTTTTATGGTGGGGGTGATGCCTCTGGTACAATGGGTAAGTTACATATTTGTAGTGCACCTAAATATAAACCCGTTTGATAAAAATTCTGAAAGAAATTAAATTGTTGACGGGCCTTTTGCAGGTGGGGCTTGTGGGTATGGGAATCTATACAGCCAGGGATATGGAACAAACACAGCGGCTCTGAGCACTGCACTTTTCAACAACGGGTTGAGCTGTGGAGCTTGTTTCCAGATTAGGTGCGCCAGTGATCTTAAGTGGTGCCTCCCTGGCTCAATTGTGGTCACTGCCACTAACTTCTGTCCACCAAACAATGCCCTCCCTAACAATGCTGGTGGCTGGTGCAACCCTCCCCAGCAACATTTTGACCTCTCTCAGCCTGTCTTTCAACGAATTGCTCAATACAGAGCTGGAATAGTACCCGTGGCCTATAGAAGGTCACCATTTTGAACGTTGTAACCAACTCAATTTTATATATATATTTGCTAATTGTTAATTTATAATGCAGGGTACCATGCAGAAAGAAGGGAGGCATCCGGTTCACAATCAACGGCCATTCTTACTTCAATTTAGTCCTGATAACAAATGTTGGAGGTGCTGGGGATGTTCATGCTGTTTCCATTAAAGGGTCAAAAACTGGTTGGCAACCCATGTCGAGAAACTGGGGTCAAAATTGGCAAAGCAACACTAATCTCAATGGACAAAGCCTCTCCTTTAAGGTTACAACGAGCGATGGCCGCACTCTGGTATCTAACAATGTTGTCCCGGCGGGTTGGTCCTTCGGCCAAACTTTCAGTGGCCTACAATTCTCTACCTGAATTACACCATCAAGTCAAAGCAGTTTCTAAGTAAAAATAATTCGTGTGATAGTGTCAATTTTGTTTTTGTTTTGGGGGGTGTGAAAATGGCGAAGGGCTAATTTAGAGATGGCTCTTGTCGTTTATATTTGATTACGGGGGGTTTCTGATCTGCTGTGTTTTGAATAGGCAGACGGAAACGGCGGCGGCGGGCATGCACCACCCGCCACTTTTTGGCGAGTTTTATATAATACATTGGCAAAATGTAATCAGGCTGGCCTTTTTCAGATGCGTCTTTAATTATGGTTCAGAGATGTCATGTCATCAATAACAATAAAATTAAATTATGTTCAATCTCATCAATCTACTATGGCCTGCCAAACACAATCTGAAGTATTTTAGTTATTTACTCTGTTTCTCTCAATAAATTGGTAATTAAGTATATCTAAAATCACAAAAAGTTTCAAATAATATATATTTAAATAACAACAAAATAAATCAGTGGGACTGCATTTTTATAAGATATAGAAACAACTTGTTTGGATATGTTTATTAAATGTTTTTGAAATAGATCGTAAATATCTTTTTTCAACAAAATAAACTAATTAGAATAAGATATAATAATCTTTAAATTATACAAATTTTAAAGTAAATATAAATTTTATATATATGCAAAGTTGTGTTAAGATAAATTTAATAATTGTACCAGTATAATTATTAATATCAATTATAGATAGATGTCATTAAATTATTCATCTAACTTGAGAATATCACTTGAATATTATATGATCTAATTATATTTTCAAGGTCACCATCTTGTACAATTGATATTATTTTTGCAGATATGCTTTTGATATTCAATGTCAGTATTTTGTGACGAATCATGTATGATATTTAATATCACCTTAATATTATCAAAATCAACTATTTAAAATTAAAATTTATATTGACATTCCGCAATTTCTGTAACTTATATTTATTTTCAAGTTGCATTGCGCGGGTATGTTTATTATATTTTTTTTAACATTATTATTGGGTTTTTTTTTTTTTGTGTGTTTTAAATATATATTTTCTATATTGAAGTTCATTTTATATTAAATTGATAATTAAAAAATTAAAAAATAAAATATCCATAAATTGAACTCAAAGTCTATATCATCATGGTTATTCTCATATATGTCAACATTTGACATATGCAACCAAAGTTTAAAACTTTGTCAAGAAAAGCAAAAAACTTTGCAGGATAACCCACTATAAGTCTATAAATCAATTAGAAAAAGATAAACCTTGTTGAAAAATATGAACTTTTAAGTAAGAGACTTATAGAGCCAAAGGAAAAAACTTATTTTGATTGTTGATAAGAGAAAATGAATTATTTTTATTACTATTATTTTAGAAATTAGAAAAAATTAAGAATGTTGAGAAGAGAACCACATAAAAAGCAACAACAACTCCAACAGTATAATTTGAATGCAACTTAATTGAAGCATTGAAAAAGTCATGAAGATAAAGGTCCTGTGACACAAATCCATTTACTGCAAATAGAATTGACCATCACCTATAACAAAAAAAACATTTGACAATAGCATCCTAAGAAAGACGGTAATTGTAAAACCCACAAATCAAACAACAAAATCAATCCAAAAATCAACAAAAAGAGATAGAATAAATACAATTAAAACTACATATCAATATTTGTTTTCTTTTGTCATCACTAAAATTGAATCTGTTTATGTGTGTGATGATAAAAGGAATGGTTCGGTAGCAAGTCTATAGTTATCCAAATTCATCGTATAATATATCAAATTAAAGTCCTATCTTTCTAGTTTTCAAATATTTAAACTGCTCATTAATTGGATTTTATTTGGCAAATTATGGTTAATTTACTACCGACTGTTCAGTGGAAATCGAGAAATAGGGGAAACCAAAATGTGTGTGATGATAAAAGAAATGGTTTGACAATGGAGCTATAGTTATCCAAATTAATCGTATAATATAACAAATTAAAGTAATATCTGTCTAGTTTCTAAAATTCAAACCTCTCATCAATTGAAATTTTTATTGAGCAAGTTACGGTCAATTTACTACTGACTGTTCAGTGGAAATCAAAATGTGTATGATGATAAAAGGAATGGTTTGGAAGTGGGGCTACAATTATCCAAATTAAACATATAATATATCAAATTAAAGCCCTATCTATCTAGTTTCTAAATATTTAAACCTCTCATCAATTGGATTTTTATTCGGAAAGTTATGGTCAATTTACTACTGACTATTCAATGGAAACCGATATGTGTGTGATGATAAAAGAAACGGTTCGACAGTCAGACTAAAATTATCCAAATTAAGCGTATAATATATCAAATTAAAGTCATGTCTGTATAGTTTCTAAAAATTCAAACCTCTCATCAATTGGAGGTTTATTGAGCAAGTTATGGTCAATTTACTACTGATTATTTAGTAGAAACCGAAATGTGTGTGATGATAAAAGGAATGGTTCGACAATGAGGCTACAATTATCCAAATTAAGCGTATAATATATCAAATTAAATCTTTGTCTGTCTAGTTGCTAAAGATTCAAATCTCTCATCAATTGGAGTTTTATTGAGCAAGTTATGGTCAATTTACTACTAATTGTTCAGTGGAAACCTAAATGTGTGTGATGATAAAATGAATGGTTTACTAAAGCTACATGGTTCAGCATCAAACATCAGTTGATATTTGTTAAATAAATGAAATTAGTTATATTCAGTAACAACCTCTTTTCATGATATATGTATGTAACATAAAAAAATATCAACAAAAAGAGATAGAACTATTACAATTACAGCCACATATTAATATTTGTTTTCCTTTAAGGATAATAATAATGATTCGACATATTATAAATGGTTTACTAAAGCTATATGATTCAGCAACAAACATCAGATGATATTTGCAATACAAATAAAATTTGTTATATTCAGCAACAACCCGTTTTCGATATATGTTCGTAACATAAAAAAAAATATCAACAAAAAGAGATAAAAAAAATACAATTAAAACAACATATCAATATTTGTTTTCCTTTGTCATCACTAAAATTGAATTTGTTTTATGTGTGTGATGATAAACTAAATTGTTCGGCCGCAGGTCTATAGTTATCCAAATTCATCATATAATATATCAAATTAAAACTCTATTCTTTTAGTTTTCAAAGATTTAAACTGTTGATCAGTTGAATTTTTATTAAGTTATGATCAATTTATTACTGTTTGTTCAGTGGAAATCAAGAAACAGGGGAAATCAAAATTTGTGTAATGATAAAATGAATGGTTCAGAAGTGGGGTTATATTTATCCAAATTAAGCGTATAATATATCAAATTAAAGCCCTATAGGTCTAGTTTCTAAAGATTCAAGCCTCTCATCAATTGGAGTTTTATTGGGCAAGTTATGGTCAATTTACTACTGACTATTCAGTGAAAACCGAAATGTGTGATGATAAAAGAAATTGTTCGGAAGTAGGGCTACAGTTATCCAAATTAAGTGTAATATATCAAATTAAAGTCCTATTTATTAGTTTTCAAAGATTCAAACTGCTCATCAATTGGATTTTATTGAGCAAGTTATGGCTAATTTATTACTGACTGTTCAGTGAAAATCAAGAAACATGGGAAATTAAAATATGCGTGGTGATAAAAGGAATGATTCAGCAGTGGGGCTACAATTATCCAAATTAAGCGTATAATACATCAAATTAAAACTCTGTCTGTGTAGTTTCTAAAGATTTTAATCCGCTCATCAATTGGATTTTTATTGAGCAAGTTACGGCCAATTTATTACTGACTGTTTAGTGGAAACCGAAATACGTGTGTGATAAAATGAATGGTTTACTTAACCCAAATTTAAGGGATTATCATATTAGACTGATAAGAAATATTTCAAATAACACCTATTAATTGGAAAACAGAATCAGCCAAAATTAATTCATTTAACATATATACTCGCACATCAGCAGGAAAAACAATTAATCATTCATATAACAAATAAAATACACGAATATTTTTACAGAAAACATATTCAACACAAATGAACTGTTTATAATAATATAGATATGACACATACTCATAGTTCAGTTGATAATAAGATCATCCTCGATTTGATCTTAGTAAAGTATATGAACATTTCCTTGAAAACAAACATAACAAAATTTAGTTGATCTTCTTGTTAAGATTGTTAAGTAACAATTATTCATTCGTATAACGACTGTTACTTGAAAACGAAATCAACAAAAGTGAATTAATCTTCATATTAAAATTGTTAAGGAATACACTTACCGTTCAGCAGGACTAACACAATTAATCATTCAAATAAATTGACCAAACAAAAACAATCATTNCCTCATTTTTATTGCATTCTCCATGAAATTCTATCTCTTTTCACTCCCCACAATTTCAACAAATTTTGAGTGAAAAGACCATTTTACCCTTAATGCAAGTTTAAGGCATTTTCTTCACATTTTCCTTAAAATAACCTTAGCAAAAATCAACTGAAAATATAAGAGCATAAATTAAATTACGTACCTCCATGTGGGCGTTACAGTTACAGTTATCAAAATTAAGTGTATAATATACTAAATTAAAGCTCTGTCTGTATAGTTTCTAAATATTCAAACCTCTCATCAATTCCTGCTAGCAAGTTATGGTTAGTTTACTACTGACTGTTCAGTGAAAATTGAAATGGGTGTGATGATAAAATGAATGGTTCTTCAGTGAGGCTACAGTTATCTAAATTAAGTGTATAATATATCAAATTAAAGCCCTATCTGTCTAGTTTTCAAATATCCAAATTAAGCGTATAATATATCAAATTGGAGGTTCATTGAGCAAGTTATGGCTAATTTACTATTGATTGTTTAGTGGAAATTGAGAAATAGGGGAAACCGAAATGTGTGTGATGATAAAAGGAATGGTTTGGCAGTAGGGCTACAGTTATCCAAATTAAGCATATAATATATCAATTTAAAGCCCCGTATGTCCAGTTTCTAAAGATGCAAACCTCCCATCAATTGAACTTTTATTGAGCAAGTTATGGTCAATTTACTACTGACTGTTCAGTGGAAGCCAAAATGTGTGTGATGATGAAAGGAATGGTTCGGTAGTGGGGCTACGGTTATCCAAATTAAGCATATAACATATCAAATTAAATAAATGTCCGTCTTGTTTCTAAATATTCAATCCTCTCATCAACTGTATTTTTATTGAGCAAGTTATGGTCAATTTACTACTCATTGTTCAGTGAAAGTCGAAATGTGTGTGATGATGAAATGAATGGTTCGGCAGTGGGGCTATGGTTATCCAAATTAAGCGTATAA